CGATCGCGGAGACCCAGAGTTCAGGGGACAGGGCTCTCCGAGTCTGTCAACAAATTTCCAGCAAGTAGGCGGATCTGCCCCCATAAGGTTCGCAGCCACGACTGGGTCGTCGTGAGTGGTGAACCGGCAGCCTCCAGGGCGCAGTCACGACCCCGATTCGGACCTGGGGCCGGCGCGAGAGCTGCCCTTTACCTCTCCGGCTGCCCTCCATGGTTTTAGATCCTCTTGCAGGCGCCGTGGTGATAGCTGGGCTCCCTGTGGTCCTGCGGGGCCGGGCCCAGCCCTGGACTCCCAATCAGCCCCACACTCGCCCCGAGCGCAGGACGGAAAAAGAGGAGCCAGCGGGGGCGGCTGCGGCCAGGAGACTGTCCTCAGGCTGGTTGCTAAGGGCTTGGGCCTGGTGTCGGGATTGTGATGTCACGGCTCAGAGGAAGTGCGCAGCCGCAGCCCCGCCTCCACGCGGTATCCCGAGGAAGGAGGAGAGTGGATGAGGATGGGGCGTGGGAGCTGGGTGGGAGCTGTATCCCCAGATACCACCGTCTGCTGCTCTGGGAACCTGCTGGTTGTCCCAGAGTGGCCTCCATGCACCTGGCAGGCCTTGTCCCTGTGGGAGGAGGGGGGCGGTGTCATCTGGTATGGAAAAAAGTGAAAAGCAAATGTGGGTTATGGTCTGGCTAACATTTGGTGGCGGTGATTGAGTGCCACCGCGTCGGTTCCGATGCCTTGAGACCCTGTATAAGGTTTCCGAGGCTGTAAATATGGGAGCAGAAGGCTTCATCGTTCTCTTGAGGAGCTACTGGTAGATTCGAACTGCTGACCTTGAGGTTAGCAGCTGCACTACCAGGGCTCCTAGGATAACATTTAGCCAATTCAGTTTTGAAGCAGCCCCTACAACTTCGTTACTGTAAATTGCCGTGGAGTTGGTTCCAACTCAGTGACTCTGTATAGGGTTTCCTACGAGCGGCTGGTGGATTTGAACCGCCGACCTTGTGCCGTCCAGTGTTTAGCCTACAGCGCCACACCACGACCTACATTACATATTCACATATTCTTAACCGCAATAATTCAAACTAATTTCTGCTTTCTGAGTCTCCCTCCCCCTCCTCCATCCTCCTTTACAGTGCAATAGAGCTGCAGCTGGAGAAGCAATTGATCTATTCACGACTTTCTACAGTTCGTTTAATTGTGAGCCACTTACCTACCATTGACTCTTTGGAAATGAAATCAGGAGCAGGACAAGGAGCACCTGTAATGTAGGCTTTTCTCAGCAGCATCACTGTTGACATTTTGCACTGAATGATATTTTGAAAACTGCTCTGTGGGCTCTAGGGCGTTTAGTAGCATCCTTGACCTCTCCCTACTAGATGACATTAGCAATTACTCCTAATCTTGATAATAAAAAATGCCAGCTGTCTCTCTTGGGAGTCATCCACATCCTCTAGAGACTTACTTCTATACTGGAAAGAGGACTGGCTTTGCAACCAGGCATGTTCAGCCAAACTATGATTAAATTAGTTTCTAAACTCTGAGCCTCAGGTTCCTTCTCCCCCAACCCCCCAAATGTAAACGATGTTACTAACTTTGTAAGTGCAAGAACACTATGTACTATGTCCATGCCTGGAATATAGAAGTATTTAACTAACTATATTTTCTTTTCTCTAAGACTCCTATCTCAAAAGAACGCAGGGAATTCAAGTATAAGGCAGTCAGTCAGAAACCCTATAACAAAGAAAAGTAATTGCAAAGTCTTTTTGAACTGAAAGATTGGCGGTTCAAGCTCACCAGCTGCTCCTGGGAAACCCTATACAGGATCGCTGTGGGTTGGAATCGACTCCACAATACTAACAACAATAGCAACATAACAAAGAAAGGGGAATAAACAAGAAATCCACTATTACAACACCCGAACCCCTAGTTCCCCAAGACTCTATGTTAGAGAGGGCATTGGAGTGTGGGAGTGTGGGTGGTTCTGTAGCCAAAAACACACGTCACTTATTTGTTGCAGGGGCACAGAGAGAGCAAAACCCTCTTTTGTACCTACTCAGTATTGCTTGAAATCTTGAACTTGAGCCCTTTATTCCCTCCTGCTGCTGCTGTTAAGTGCTGTTGATCTGGGTCTAACTCATAGTGACCCTGAATAGGGTTTCCAAGGAGCAGCTGTTTAAACTGCAGACCTTATGGTTCACAATCCAGTGTTGATCCTACAGTGCCACACCAGGATTCCACACCAGGATGACTTCTTGTTAGTACCACTGAGTCAGTTCTGACTTACAGTAAACATGTATAGGGTTTCAGAGGCTTTTAAAATCTTTGAGGGAGCAGATAGCCAGCAGCTAGAAAATACCTTCCATGTAACAAGCCTCCAGCAAACATTTGTTAAACTGAATTGAAGACAAAGTTTGAAGGGGAACAGTCCTGGGAAAGGAAACACGGTGACTAGATCAATACAAAGACATCACTCGCTCCTCTTAGGGAAGTAGACTTCAGGATGAAAAGTCAATTTCACTCTGAAGTAGAAAAGGGTCTCTACCACCAGAATAGGGCAGCAGACAGAAGAAAACATGGCTTGGTACTCACCTTTGCCTCAAGCTAGCCTTATTTCATTATTTCTCTTTTTAGTATTTTGTTCCAATTATTTCAAGTATGTGCACAAAAGAAGGGCCTATTTCTTTTCAATTTTTTGTTGTTGGTAAGTGCCATCAGGTCGTTTCCGACTCACAGTGACCTTACGGGTTACTGATGAAGATCAAAGATCACAGCCTTCAGTATGGGTTGCATCTCAATGTAAAGAACACAAAAATCCTCACAACTGGATCAATAAATATCATGATAAATGGAGACAGGATTGAAGTTGTCAAAGACTTCCTTTTGCTTGGATCCGCCATCAACTCTCATGGAAGCAGCAGTCAAGAAATCAAAGGACGTATTGCATCAGGCTGAACTTTAAAATGTTCAAGAGCAAAGATGTCAGTTTGAGAACTCAAGTGAGGCTGACCCAAACCATGGAATTTTCAATAGCCTCATATGTATGTTTGGAGTCCTGGTGTGGTGCTGTAGGATAACTACTTGACCATAAGTTCAGTTTTGAACTGCAAGGCTGGTGGTTCAAACTCACTAGCTGCTCCTTGGAAACTGATATAGAGTTCCTATGGGTAGGAACAGACTCAAAAGCACTTAACAACAACAACAACATATGCTTGTGAAAGTTGGTCAAAAGGAAGACTCCAGAAGAAGTGATATGTATGATTTATGATGCTGGAGAAGAATCTTAATGGTAACCTCAAATGCCAGAAGCAGAAACAAATCTGTGTTAGAAGCCAAGATGGTGACACTTTGTATCTCATACTTCAGACATCTTCTCAGGAGGGTCCAGTCCCTGGAGAAGGACGTCATGCTTGGTGAGGGACAGTGAAAAAGTGGCAGCAGCAATGGCTCACACGTAACAACCGCTTTGAGGATGGTGTAGGATACAGCAGTGCTTCGTTCTGTTGTGCGTCGGTTCGCTATGAACTGGAACTAACTTGATGGCACCTAACAACACCACCACCAAGTAGGCAGGTGGTTTTAATTTTTCTACTCTGATTTTAATGGTTCAATTGTAATTGTCTTTTATTTGATGAACTGTAAGTTCCTTAGAAATGGGATATTGATCAAATAAACAATATATTATGTGCATTATAATATATAGTTTGGGAGTGCTTAGGCTCTGCAGGATAAGCACTGGCCTGCTAACCACAAGGTTTGTGGTTTGAAGCCCACAAGCTACTCCACAGGAAAAAGATAAAGCTTTCTGTTCCTGCAAAGATTTACAGTCTTGGAAACCCTACACAGGGTCATTATGAGTCACAACTGACTCTATGGCATGTAACAACAACAATATATAGTTTAATACATAAAATGTATAATTTCGTTACTTATTACATTTTAGGAGTCCCTGCATGGCACTATTAGGTGCTCAGATACTAACAGAAAGGTTGGAGGTTTGAGCTGTAAAGTAGAGTAAAGTAAGTGATGCTTGAAGCCCTATATAAATATTTTTATACAACACTGGCAGCAAGTAAATATTTTCCTTTGTATGTGGGAGAATGTGGGGCCGAAAAGGATACCAGTGATCACTAAGCCTCATTTAACAATAAAGACATTTCGAGGAAATAAGAGGGTAATTAGTTCACACTACTCAGCTTTCTGACTCCCGACTGAATGCTCATTGCACTAAATCATGAAATAAGCAGCAAGACAATGATCTCAGTTACTTTTCATGATGCCTTCTTACTGTCTTCTGCACCTGCTACCAAAGACGATGGGAAAACCATTTAATACAGCATCATGGACACACAAAATGCCAAAGGTAAAAAAGAGTTCAGCTATCTGAGATAATTGAGCATATGTGTGTGTGTGTTTTTTAAATGTTTTATTGTGAATTATGTGATAGTTATGTGTTTAATTTAAAGTCATATTTTTACCTCTAAGAGACCAACATGCATCATTCTTCCAAAATGAACACAGTTGAGCCCAATTTTCTCCTACCCTGGAGATCATTGCTTAAACAAAGTCCAAGAAATTATCATTTGCATTGAGATAAGGAAATTTTTGCACTGGAGAATTATCCTTTCTTCTTCTTCTTTCTTTTCCAAAGATGGCAGAGAAGAGCAACGTTAATGATTTCCTTTGAGCCAAAAGTGGCCACATGCTATTCCAATCAATATTAATGAGCCCCACTACAAGCAAGATATAGATGTTCGGCATATGCTTTCCCTTCTGATTCTACAGAGCACCATTGTTCCTTCTCTAGTTCATTGACAGTCTCTTCAGGGCTTTTTTCTAAAAACCCGATTTGAATGGAATCTCTGGAGCCTGTATGTCTACAGGGGTACTGAACATAATGTGTATGCTGGATTACCTTTCAGTCCTGGCTCTGCCGTTTTCCTAGCTGGGTGATGATGGTCAGAGTCCTTACTTTTTGGACCTATCTTTTTCACCTGGAAAAGGAATGTAATACGAACAGTGATTACTCCCTGTGGTAGTGAGAAGGAAAGGAAGCATGTGGTGTAAATAGCTTAGCTTGGTGCCTGGCTGCCATAGTCTTATGTTCCCTTAGAAACAACCCTGTGACAAGGATTCAAGTGACAGTTTGTTTAGGAGATGATCCCCCAAAGCACCAGTAGATGAGTACACAAGTGAGAGGAAGGAAGGGAAGCCAATAAAGAGGGT